TAATAAAAATTCCATATAACAATAACATCTCTTGATAAGCAAAACTTTCATGACAATTTTTTTACATTCCAATTGTTACAAACAAGCTTCAACTTGCATATCGCTATATCGTCGTAAAGTACAGGGTTCAAGCTTTAATTTGATTCCTATGTCAAGTCTCTATCACGTCGGATTTACCCGGTAGAAATTTTCAAAAACTGCCAAAAACGTGATTTTTGAGACTTTTACCTCCACTTTTCTCAAAATCCTTACGTGATGGAAGGTTTTCCTTGTCAGATTCGGATTTAGCGCACCAAAAACTACGGGAAAAGACTTCTCGATCTCTGACAACGGAAATTTTGTTTTTTTTGCAGGCTTGTGCAATCTACAAAAAAATTGTTTAAACTTTTTTTTTAAAAAAGCAGCTCGTCATGCAATATCCAGTAAGGTAAAAAAGATTTCTTGTAAGTTTCATTGAAATCGGTTAAAAATTGTCTGAGCTGCATTGCAGGGCGCGCGAAAAAACACGGTTTGAGAAAAACGCGTTTCAAGTTGTGGATACAAAAAAGTAGTGTTTTAACTATTACCTTGAAGATGTTATGTATTCGAAAAAACTATTGCATTAAAACCAAGATTTACTTTCACTTGCTTATGGTGCTTGCTAATGACAATTAATAAAATTATATTGACAAGAAACAAAAAAATAGAGAGAGAGCTCGTGCTCATAGAACTGCCCTGCAAATCTCAACATTTTTCTGCGAATAAAATGGGACATAGTGTTGCCGAACGGATTTTTCGTGCTGAACACGAATCCGGAATCAAAAACTTCCTATCACGGCACGTTTTCGAAAACAGGAGTTGAAATCCCTAAAAATAGTGTTTTTTGCCATTTTTAAAAAATCGCACAGCTAAACCCTGACTTCGCTGACATCAGAAATTAAAGGCTGAATCGTGCCCTTTAAAATGAGTTCTATGCTAAACTTTTCGCATGCACCCTTAGAGCAGGGAGTGTGTTTATAGCGTGCAAGAAAAAAATGTTAACACAACAAAAAAATTTTAAATTCATTACATTTCAATAAAACATGGCACCTAAGGGTTTTCGGGGTTGCTGATTACGAATCTAAAGTCAGATTACAAAAATTCAAAATGGCGGACATAAAAAATTAACAACTCATTATATTTTAATAAAACATGGTACCGACATTTTGAATTTTTGAAATCTGACTTCAGATTCGTAATCAGTGACTCCGAAAACCCCTAGGTACCATGTTTTATTGAAATGTACTAAAGCTGCATGCGAACACTTTGATATATATGTGTCCTGACGCGGTGAAAGGGACCTTATGATTAAATAAATCGATTTTTATTTTTTTATACCAATCGATAGTTTTTGAGTTGCTTTTTCATTTCCAACAATTAAAAATTGTCTCCTTCAAACACTTATTGTGCTATATAGCTTTAAACATAAGTACTTTTTCGCGTATTCTCGGGCGCCTCGTGGCTACTGCAAAACCACTGCCACTGCTCACCACTACGACGCTACACTCGTATATCGGTGAGCGTGTTTCCATCGTGCATCTTCGGCTCTACCATTTCTTGTCTCTCCCCACTAGTTCTAAGCTCTGATGTATACATTGCGCTGGGCCCGGAAAATGGATTTAGCTCATATTAAAGCCAGTAAAATTGCAATAAACAATTTATTAGATTTTCATTATTTTAATAATGTATAAAAAAATAATAGTTTATATTTTAAATTCAAGACATATAACTTATTTATACAGCAAAAGTAATGTTATTTTTACTGTTGTAAGAAAAGTAAAAATTGAAAATTTCTCTGTTGATAAAATAAATAATAAAAATTAATTTTATTTAATAACAACTATTTTCAGAGAAATTATTCTTAGGGAATTCAATGGATAAAAATAATATTTCATTGATCATTCTCTAGTTATTATTTTAATAAAATTCAAAGTACTTTAAAATACTTCACGATAATTTGCCTTATATATGAAATTTAACAAATTAATCAATTTTTATGAAACTTAGTATAGAAGGTGATCGGCGTCTTTGATTACAAATAAGCACGGTGTGCCTGAACCAACTTTAAATGACATTTTTTTTTTCGAATTTTTTTCTTGCATTCGATTCAAGAGCTCAAAAATAGTGTGGAAAATAATTTTTAGCAAAATCCATCGAGTTGTTTTTAAAACAAATGATTTTATGAGTCAAAAAATCGATTTTTGAGAAATTCAATGTGATAAATAAGCGGTATTTCAATTAATTAATTAATATAATATTCTGTATCGGTAAAATCATTTATAAAATGTTTACCAATATCAAAAGAAAAATAAAAAAAAAATTTTTTATTTCTATTTTGCATATTATATGTTTCGAACATCAACATTTTTGAAGCAAGAAGCTTTCAAATTAAGTTTTTCAAAATTTACCTATATTGCGTTACGTTAGGCACATATTAAACAAAAGAAAGATCTTTGAGATTTTGCAAGAATTGCAAACAACAGTTGGAACACGATTATCTTCTACATCGAACGTCACAATTTTTGTCACTCGATCCTTTAAAGCACCTTTAATTTCTACCATTTTCTCCTTTTTCTTTAAACAAATTTTCTTTCGGTTTTCATCATGTGATCCAGCACGAACTTTTGGCTTTGAAAACATGTTTTCCTAGGAAAACTCATAACCTCACTGACGTAAAAGTGGAAGAATACAAATTTTTTCATCTTTCTTTTGTTTAATATGTGCCTAACGTAACGCAATATAGGTGAATTTTGAAAAACTTAATTTGAAAGCTTCTTACTTCAAAAATGTTGATGTTCGAAACATATAATATGCAAAATAGAAATAAAAAATTTTTTTTTTATTTTTTTATTTTTCTTTTGATATTGGTAAACATTTTATAAATGATTTTACCGATACAGAATATTATATTAATTAATTAATTGAAATACCGCTTATTTATCACATTGAATTTCTCAAAAATCGATTTTTTGACTCAAAAAATCATTTTTTTTAAAGCAACTCGATGGATTTTGCTAAAAATTATTTTCCACACTATTTTTGAGCTCCTGAATCGAATGCAAGAAAAAAATTCAAAGTAAAAAAAGTTGTCAATTAAAGTTGGTTCAGGCACACCGTGATAAGTTTATAAAACAGTATATGGGTGATTCCACGTCAGATTTTAGTTCAAATTTTAAATTCGTCCAAAACTATTTTTTTTTCATTCTTCATAGTAAAAAAACGTATACGTATTTTTTTTTTTTTTTGGTGCCCAAATTTTTGAGTTATGAATTTTCAAAATTTTGGTTTTTGAAAAGTAGACCTATTTTCAACGACCTACAACTTGAAAACTATTGAATTTAGAAAAATTTCATTAAGAGAAAAAAGTTTCGATTTTTTGTCGACTTTTTAATAATGTCAAAAAAAAATTATTTTTGAATTTTTATTAAAAAAATAATAATTTTTTATAAACAAATTCATTTTTTTTCAATTTGGACATTTTTTTTTTTTAAATTTTTTTTTTCATTAGATACCTGAAAATAATAAAAAACGTTTGCACAAAGTTTTGGATTGGGCCTGATGAGTTTATTGGGTGAAAATGAATTTTTAAACTCTGCGTGCAAGTTGAGCGCGCGACGTACAATCCGAATTTTGCTAGTTTAAGTAGGAGTGTTTTTTTAAAGTTAGTTTTTAATTTGTTTTTTTTATTTTATAACATATCTATTACAATTAATACTTTAAAATAATAATACTGATAATATAATTATTATTTTCTTATATATATTCAGTTTATGTTTTTCGTTGAGATTTAGTTGTTTACATATTTTTTGTTATTCGTCCAGATTTTGTCGTTCGCGGAGATTATCTTTTTCGTTGAGGTTCAACAGTTTTCTTAGATTTGGTTTTTTCGTCAGATTTTGTTGCTCGTTGACGTTTAGTTGCAGTGGGTTCGTTTGCCCTTTGTCTTTTAGCAGTCAAGAAACTTGCTAATTTAAAATCTTCACAAGCAGAGTATTTTTTCACCTTTAAATGAAAATTATCTACCGGTTCGACACTGTGAATTTTTTGAGTTCCCACTACTGGTTTGCAATTGTCAAAGCGAACTTCAAGAAACTTCCAGGTGTAACTGGGATACACGACGCAAATTTTGTTTCTTTAATTGATTTTCTTCCAAAAAAGGATTACAACACCTGTCTTTAAACTTCTCCGACATTATAATGAAAATTTGTTAAAAATTTCTTTATTTACATTCAACACCTTCGACACAAATTACAATTTCGTATTCCGCCTTAGCGAAACAAGTGTAGCGGTCTAGCGCTCTGGAGACCAGCTTGAACGTGCACGGAACGTCGCGCGCTCAACTTGCACGCAGAGTTTAAAAATTCATTTGCACCCATTAAACTCATCAGGCCCACTCCAAAACTTTGTGCAAACGTTTTTTAATATTTTCAGGTATCTAATGAAAAAAAAAATTTTTTTAAAAATGTCCAAATTGAAAAAAAATGAATTTGTTTATAAAAAATTATTATTTTTTTAATAAAAATTCAAAAATAATTTTTTTTTTTGACATTATTAAAAAGTCGACAAAAAATCGAAACTTTTTTCTCTTAATGAAATTTTTCTAAATTCAATAGTTTTCAAGTTGTAGGTCGTTGAAAATAGGTCTACTTTTCAAAAACCAAAATTTTGAAAATTCATAACTCAAAAATTTGGGCACCAAAAAAAAAAAAAAAAAATACGTATACGTTTTTTTACTATGAAGAATGAAAAAAAAATAGTTTTGGACGAATTTAAAATTTGAACTAAAATCTGACGTGGAATCACCCATATACATTAATTAATATTTGATTTAATTTTAAACTAATATTTAATAATTATGAAGTTAACTTTTTAGAGATACTTACTTTTATAAATTTGTTTATACTATTTGGTAAATTTGTAACGATTATTGAAATATTTAATTAAAAAATTTTAATTGAATAACAAAAATATATATATATATATATAAATATTTGTCTCAAAGGGAAATTATTAAACACATTAAATAAAATATGAATCAGAACGTAAGGTCGAACATGAAATATATTAAAATAAAATTATGAAAAATACAAAATAAAATTATCAAATTAAATAAAAAATTACAAATTCAAATTGTCGCGACATTCATACCTCACTCAACGGCAAATTAACAAAATAAAAAAAAATGATTAACACAAAAAAATTAGTACACGTTGATATATAACAACAAAAAAAAAATTAACAATATATATAAAAAAAATAAAAAGAGACGAACGACAAAGTTAGAAAAATCAATAATAAATCATACGACACAATAAAACAGGTGTATAAGAATTGACCAAATGAGTTTATCTTTTGATCAATTCGTAAAATATATCGACCAATAATTAAAATAAAAAAATCAATAAAATAAAATATAATATATATGGGCAAATCCACAGAACCGGCCGATTTTTACTTATCAAGATGAAAATTTTCCAAATAGCAAGCACACCTTTTATTTATGGTTTACTTTCTTTAAAATATATTCAAGAACAATTATCTTCTTGCGTGATTCATTTTATTTTAATGCCGTTTGAGTTAAAAGCCAAAAACGAAAATATTATTTTTCTTCTGGAAATTATAATTAAAAATGGCATTTCTTTTTTTTTTTATATATTATTTGAAATATCTGCAAAACATTTTGAATAATAAAATATGATAAAATACAAATAATTATTTTTTTAATTATCAAATATTAATTATTTATATTTTATCATATTTTATTATATATTTTATTTATTAGCATTTAATTTTTTATTTCTGTAAATTAAATTGTTTACTTACTAATTTTGATATTAACTATTTTAACCAACAAACTGACATTATTGACATCGATTTTGATATAACTTTGAAAATAAAACAAATGAAAGGATAATTCATTTTTCACGATTAACTAGTTAAATTTCGATAAATTTTTTTTTATTTTTAATTTTTAGACGTTATAAATTGAAAATATAATTTGGCGTTTGCATACAAGAATTATAATAATGTCTTTATATAATCACACATGTTTTCAACTCATTATATTTTATCCTGTAGTTGTGCTACTGAAAAAAGGCTAAGTTGAAAATGGTTCACGCTTAAACATAGAGTGATAATTATTGGAATATTTTCTTTAATTCTGATTGCACTCTATTCTATGATACATACATTTGTTCGTCTGTTCACAAGCAATAAGCTCCAATTTGAAAAATTCAAATCGAATAATCGCCGCAAAAGATATTTACAAAAATGTATAGACATTTCATTATTATAAAATAATGAGTAACGCTACTTTCAACGACTATCATTTCTTTTTATTTAAGAGCACATATTTTTTATTACTTTCAAAACATTCTTCAATAAGTAAACTATAATTCACCACAGTTTGGAATTGTTCGGATCTATGCCGAACAAGTTATACCTATAAGAATTAAAATTTATACCTGGAGTAACACCGTAAATTTCATTTTTTAAGTTACTTAATTCGATTTTATTTTTTATAAAAGACTAGAAGGTTCACATTTATTCAATTTTCTTATTTCAATAGGTTCTCAGAGATATTACAAAATGGTTGAAGTATGAAAATAATTAATATAATACTTCTAAAATAGAAAAATATATGAGTAACATGAAATCGGCCGGTTCTGTGGATTTGCCCATATGTGTAAAAAAAAGGCAGAAAAACTTATCAGTCCGGTGTTCCAGATATAGATTTAAATAACACGGGTCCAGCTTTGGTAATTTGGCGCGAAGAAATGCTGGCGCCAACCTGGCGATTAGGGATTACTCCCTTCACAACGATCTTCCGCAATTTTCCTCCTTCTTTCTTATCGAGTTTACACCCACGTCAATGGCCAAATTTATCAGGGTAAACTTAAGATAAAAAAGACCGAACGGAAATTAATTAGGCTCAATCAAAAAGTGCTTCATAGGCTGAAGTAGAATCTCATGAAATGCTTCATAAGCTTATAGAACCTCGTCAAAAAAGAACTTGAACCCGTATCTTCGTCACGAAATTAGTCGCCACCCTATTTAAATAAATAAAAATAAAAAGAAATTTTACACTCCGATAAAATAGATATATTAAAAAAAATTGGAACAAATAAAATTTCGTTTATATGCACGTTTTAAAACAAAAAACTACCTCTGGGCTGCCGGCGACACGCAGAGATGTGGCGATTCGCCTTATAGTTTTAACCCGGACCGATGAAAAATGAGAACAAATTACTCATCGGAACCACTTTTATTATTTCATAGGCAAACCCCCAAATCCCTACAATCCAGCAATTCTTCGCGCCCAAATCACCTCACTAGGAGCGTTTTCCACGGCTTTTGCCGATTTTTCACGAGTAATATCTTTGCGGGAAATTTAAACATTTAACACATATATACTTATATACAAAACACATCAGAATCCCTTCATCACCCCCCTGTTTTGAGATTAATAAAAAAAATCTCAAAGCATCACTTCTTTATCAATCGATACAATTAGAGTAATTCTTAAGTCGTTATCATCATACAAAATTCTTTTCTCTCTTTTCTCTATACACTTCACATGTGTGAATGTCATAGACAATTCCCGATTCTCAAAGCGATATAAAATCAAAATTTGCAATCCTTACATTGCATGTCTTTTTCTTGTTAAAAATAAAAAACTAAGATAAACACATAGCAATAAAAATATCGGCTAGATTACAAATGATAATCAATCACAGAAAAACGCAATTCTCATGACAAAACAACAATTATACCTTTTCCTTATTACTCACATATATAACCATTACTTTTCTTATATAAAAGAGAGAAACCATACTATTTACATATTTACAGAAGCGGTTCCCTATCACGTCAAATGATGATTCCATACAATATTCTTAATCCGGTTTTATATATCTTTTTAAATGGCATTGATTGTAAATTCCCAAAACCCGATGAGCATCATTGACATCAGCCAACTCATATGAATTATTATTAAAAGTCCGAACAATACAATAAGGCCCATAAAACAGATTAAAAAATTTCATGGTAACCTTCTCCATCGCTTCCGAACGTTTCGGCACCCGTAACAGAACCCAGTCACCCTCAGTAAAAGACATTCGAGATGGGGTCCCCTGCGAACGTTCCCGTTGTTCAAAACTCTTTGTTAAACGATCCTTTGCCATCATTATTTTCATATCCTTCGTTGGTTCATCTACTTCAGGAAAATTAAGGATTTCTATTATTTTGTCGCTATATTTTTTTCCAAAATGAAGTTCACATGGCGAGAAACCTGTGCTCATATGTGTTGTTACATTAAAAAAAAATTCTATATCAGGTAGACATTTAGCCCAACGCGTATGTTTATCCGAACATAATGTCCTGAAAAACCGGCCAAGTTCGCGCATGACCCGCTCAACGGGATTACTTTGAGGATGTCGAATAGAAGAAAAAACCGGTGCAATTCCCTCATGACGTAAACGTCCCCCCCACATTGGTGAGGTAAATTGGGTACCGTGATCCGATAGAATTCGCTTCGGTTTTCCCATTTCTGGTATATAATAATTAAAAACCTTGTTAAGAATCGTACTTGTCGTTTCTCGCTTAATTGGATATAACTTTACATATTTTTAAAAAACATCTAAAATAACAAAAATATACTCAACTCTACCTATAGATCTGGGAAGAGGACCGTAAAAATCAACACTGACCAAATCACATGGTCCTGCAGACTCAACTCTGCCCAATGGTCCCGTCATTTTTACATTCCGACTTTTCACTCTCTGACATAAATCACATCGCAAAACAAACTTTTTTATTTCCTGAGCCATTAATCTCCAAAAATAATATTGACGAGCATACATAGTTGTTTTATATATCCCAGGATGTCCCAATTTTGAGTGGATACAATCAATGATATCTCGAGTAAGAACTTCCGGAATGACGACCTGCCAAACAGATAAATATTCATCCCGACGGAAAAGAATTCCTTCTTTCAAAACAAAAAAATCAACCCTTTCCTCATTCTCGAGTCGCTGAATCACCCAATTTGAAAATTCATCACTCCGCTGCAAATCTGCCAAATTTTTCAACGATGCCTCTAAATCGCCCGAAATCTCAACAACCGAGCACATTAACACTTCTTTAGGAACGTCCTCCATTTCCAAAATATCTATCGACAATTGATTTGGATACATTGATTCAAACTTACTTTCCGGGTTTCGACTAAAGAAATCGGCTACCACGTTATCAACCCCCCTACAATATTGAACCTCAAAATCATAGGATTGGAGCACAATGCTCCAGCGAATCAATCGCGCATTTAGATATGGAGTAGAATTAAGAAAAATTAGACCCTTATGATCAGTAAGTATTAAAAATCGAACTCCTAGTAAATAAATTCTCAATTTTGTTACCGCATAAATAATGGCCAACAATTCCTTCTCAGTGGTGGAGTAATGGACCTCAGCGGAATTCAAACATCGACTAACTAATGAAATGATTCGGTGATTACCATCAGAGTCCACTTGGTACAGAACACCACTGATACCAATGTCAGATGCATCCGTCTGCAGTCTGTACATCTGACCCGGAACATAATGCTTCAATTGGACACAATCAACAAATGCCGCCTTCATATCATCGAACGCCCTCTCATGATATTCCTTCCAAGACCACACACTTTTTTCTTTCAGAATATCGCGAAAAGGAGCAAGAAGTTCCGCATGACGCACCGTGAATTGGCGATAGTATGTACACATACCAATGAACTGCTGTAATTGCTTTCGATTTTTAGGTTGGGCAAAACATAAAATTTTTTCTAATTTATCTTTTAACGGACGAACACCCTCTATCGATAATTCATGGCCCAAAAATTTAATCACCTTTTTACAAAAAATCGATTTACTTAACTTTAATGTAAAATTTTTTTCCTGTAGCACGTCAAAAACACGACTCAAAGCCCTTAAATGATCTCTAAATGAACTTTTTGTGGTTATCAAAAAATCATCAACATACATTGCTAATATATCGTCAAAATGTGGACCGAGGACCGAGCGAAGAACGCGCATAAAAATCGAACCTGACGTTTTTAATCCAAAAGGCAACCGACAAAATTGATAAACTTTAGAGTTATATAAAAAGGCTGTATATTTCCGACTATCAACATGCAAGGGAACCTGCCAATAACCACACGCAAAATCCGTGCTAGTCATATATGTCACACCATGAAACTTCTGCATGAGCTCGTTAATCAGTGGTGGAGCTTCGTGATCGGATTCAAGAACCGAATTCACGAATCGCGCATCCAAACATAGACGAACCGTCCCATCGCTTTTTATAACTACCCGCAAAGGATTACAATAACGACTATTAGACGGCTCGATAATTTTATTATTACACATTTCATTAAAAGCAACATCAACCAATGGTCGATGAGTCATTGGTATCGGATAGGTTTTGCGAATCTCCACATTATGTGGTTTAATATTTAATTGATATGGTTCAACTGTTGCTGCAACACGTTTAGGGGTAAATAATGGTTTATATTGAGACATAATATCTATAAAAAAACGCCTATCATCCTCACATATATTACTTATTCCTGTCGAAATATCATGAAGGTTACTCATAAATTGATCAAAAATAACCCGATCCCCAATCGAGGCATTACTAAATTTATCCAATTTTTGCATAAAATATTCACAATCTACATGAGACTCGATCATCTCATAAATATGAATGACATTGTCAAAGACCATATCTGACTCAGGACACTCAGAAAATAAATACTGATTTTTTTTCTCAATCCATTCTTCTTTACATAACTTATTACCTTGAATTTTGTTCGAAAAATTAAACTGACTCTCATCCTCCGAAAATAAACATGCAATCGAATCATCATCATCCTGAAATGAATCCAGCACTGATAAACTAGATAGTTGTTCGCGATTCATTACTTGTATATGAACAATATCGTCATTTCGTTTTTTAACCGATATACTCTCTTTAAACTTTTTACTAAATGAAACTGCGGAATCGGGAACTTTTTTTCCTTGAATGATTAAAGTTAAATCGTCATAATTAATAATTGATTGATTGTCCGTAAGCCAATCATTTCCAACAATCACGGAATTTGACAAACAAGGGACGACCAAAAAATTAGAACACATTCTAATCTCCCCAATTTTAATGTCACAACAAACTTGCTTCCGAATAGTGGTTGCTTTCCGACCAATAGCAGTATATAAAACTACGTTTGAAACTGGTAATTCTTTTAAATCACCATGCAATTTTAAATAACCATACAATTCTTCGGAAATGGCAGTAATTTGACTGCCAGTATCCACAAGGGTCTGCATTGGTACCGAAAGAAATGAAATAATTATGCGCGGACACATCAAATGTTTAAAAATATTATTATTTTTATTCGATCCGTTGATATCCTGAATCAAATCAGCAAAATCTGAGTCTTCGCCTAAACGTGACGTTTTCAAAGTATTTGTAATAGTATCTTTTAATTTTACACAATTCAATCGCCCGCGAGTGTCCAGAGACGAATGAATAGAAGAGATTGCTAAAGAGGGTGGGGGAATAGATAAATCCGGGAGAACCACACGGGGACGTTCTCGCCAATTATACATCGTCTCACGTTGATGAGTAGGTCGCTGATTCCCCTCCAACTTGCGCATGATTGATAATGATCCCCCCTTTTTACATTCGCAAAGACTTTCTTCAAAGTTAGAACTCACATGTACTTCACGAACCTTAGGTTTATACTGCGGGTTATCAGCTGAGTAAGTGGGGAAATTTTCAGGTCGTGGTGGGAGATTTGATCGTTGAGCATTTTGCTTTTCTCCGAACGTTAACTCTAATTGCAATAGAGAACTAGAAATCCTTTTTGAATCTGAAAAATCGATTGTGGAAAGGATCTCCCGAACACGCAAAGGGAATTGCTGAATGATCATGTAGTTCATTTCATACTCTTCAATTTTTCGGATAAAATGTTGAGCCTCTTGCACTTGATTTAAAAAATAATCTTTCGCGGGGTTGAATCGGCGAGCTGACCACGCGGCTTTAATTTGTACACGTACGGGTATCGAATAAAACTCATCAAGAAAACTTTGTTTAAATTCAGCATACGTAACCAGATTTTGAGTTTCGTACCATAGTTTAACGCGACCTTCAAAAATCCCATCCAAAACATCCAACCGATAAGCGACTGGGACCTGTTTTAATTTAAAAATTTTTTCGAGTTTTTCTAAAAACGCGTGAGGATTTCGAATGTCATCGAATTTTGGGGGTTTTACATCCATATTAATTGCTCTTAACCCTTCAATAAGTGCGTCAATCGTCCCGACATCATTACGACTACTCCGGGTTGGATCCGGGATCCGCTTCCGCAAATCACTTAATTGTGTATTCTGTATTCCATTTAAATCACGTAGCCTAAGAATTTCGGCTTGCAATTGCTCAATTATAACATCTTTATTTAACAACGACTCGTCGGTGGATCGAAGCGATATTTCGTCGCCGTCGATATTATTATTTAAATTTATAATATTTAGTGGTTGATTTACCCTGTCACTTTGATTATATTTATCAGTTACGGCCTTGGGAGGAGTTCGCGCAGTCATGGATACAAAATAAATCAACAAACAACACACAAATAATAAACGGTTTCACAACAAACTTTTCACAAATAAGAAGGACACTCTCAAGTCCCTGTTCGGGCGCCAATTTATGTAACGATTATTGAAATATTTAATTAAAAAATTTTAATTGAATAACAAAAAAAAAAAATATATATATATAAAAATATTTGTCTCAAAGGGAAATTATTAAACACATTAAATAAAATATGAATCAGAACGTAAGGTCGAACATGAAATATATTAAAATAAAATTATAAAAAATACAAAATAAAATTATCAAATTAAATAAAAAATTACAAATTCAAATTGTCGCGACATTCATACCTTACTCAACGGCAAATTAACAAAATAAAAAAAATGATTAATACAAAAAAATTAGTACACGTTGATATATAACAACAACAAAAAACAATTAACAATATATATAAAAAAAAAATAAAAAGAGACGAACGACAAAGTTAGAAAAATCAATAATAAATAATACGACACAATAAAACAGGTGTATAAGAATTGACCAAATGAGTTTATCTTTTGATCAACTCGTAAAATATATCGACCAATAATTAAAATAAAAAAATCAATAAAATAAAATATAATATATATGTGTAAAAAAAGGCAGAAAAACTTATCAGTCCGGTGTTCCAGATATAGATTTAAATAACACGGGTCCAGCTTTGGTAATTTGGCGCGAAGAAATGCTGGCGCCAACCTGGCGATTAGGAATTACTCTCTTCACAACGATCTTCCGCAATTTTCCTCCTTCTTTCTTATCGAGTTTACACCCACGTCAATGGTCCAATTTATCAGGGTAAACTTAAGTAAACTTAACTTATTAATTATATGGCCGCTTACTAGAGAAAACGTGCTCATGTTAGTTTGCTTGGTTTTTGCCTTGAACTGTGATTTTTCTGGTGATTTTATTATAAGTTTAGTTTTATATGACGGGTATTAGTGTACTCCTAATTAACAAAGAATAATTTTATAATTTTGATGAGTGGGTGTCACTTTGAAAAACTTTTATTGGATATATGGTGAACCTAACCTCAACTCCTGTGATAATTAAGTGAAATCACTTCTATAACTCTATTTTACTCAGTGGAAATAAGGACAATTTTCTTTGTTTATTACAATGTCTGATAAACCTGATAAAGTCTGTGTTGGTTGTAAAAAACCGATGATTAATGGTGTACACTGTTCTGTGTGTCAAGCACCCTTTCACGTATCATGTGCAAAAAATTGCGGACCCCTTCCAAACGGCGCTTACACCAAGTGCTGCAGGCCCTCTTCACCTTCTTTACTTACACCAAGTACTTCCGACACTCCCATTACAATTGCTGATATGGAGCGAATAATAGGTAGTGCTGTCAAGTCTTTAAAATCTGAAATTGCGGGGGTGTCTTCATCACTATCTGATAAAATCGATAATGTGGCTGCAGTTATGGAGAACAGAATGGTAGATGCTGAGAGAAAGATTGTTGATCTCACTGAACGAGTAAATTCTATCGAAGGTACAATTAATTCACTTTCATCAAATGATTCGAATTTGGAACGTAATTGTTTAGCGGAATTTGAAACTAGATTTATTAAAAAGAAGAATCTAATATTGTTTGGAGCTCCTGAACAAAATAATTTTCTAGAAAAACTCACCAAAACCTCGAGAAATGAGTATTTATGAGTATTTATCTCAATATCTGAAAGAAATCATATCAGCTGATTTATTCACTGGCGTACAAATACTTAGAATTGGTATGCCTTCACAGACGCAGCAGAGGCCCCGCCCATTAAGGATGGTCTTCCAGTCCGAGGAAAAGGCGCGCTCCTTTCAAAATGTGTTTCTCGAGAAGAAGAAGAATCCTGCCTTCTTGATTTAGAAAGATCTGTGGTTGACAACAGACAAAACCAAGTCCCAGTTAGACGAAGTGCGGGAATTGAAGACCCAGCTGGAAACTCGACGTCAAAATGGAGAGCGCGATTTGAAGCTCATTTATCGAAAGGGTCGCCCAATGATCCTAAAATCGGCTACGGTTGCCACTCGTCAGACCTCCTAAGATCTCAGTCAGATGGCAATACAATGTCTCATTCCGAGGCTATTGCCCCACCTCTTGCTTCTCCCCCACCATCGACGTGTCGAAATCAAACCTCTCCTGCTGTGGAATCTCAGCTGACCATCTACTATCAGAATGTGAGAGAAATTCGAACAAAACTGGACTCTCTGCGAACAACGATTCCACTGTTTTCATGTGACTTATTTGCTTTTACCGAAACGTGGTTATTTGCTGGTGTATTTACACCTGAAATTGGCTTCAGCGATCACGATGTTTTTAGATGTGACAGGAGTGTATCTACCAGTAATTACTCGCGCGGAGGAGGAGTTTTGTTGGCTGTCAGAAGGAATTTGCGTTGTTCTCAAATTAACACTAGGAATTCTACCATTGAACATGTTTGTGTTAAGTTTAAGTTACACTCGGAGTTAATAATAATAGGTAATTTTTATATTCCACCGTATGCATCAATTCATCAATATACTGAAATGTGTCAGATACTTGAAGATTTAGTTTTCTTGTTTCCATTAGCTAAAATAATAGTTCTTGGCGATTTTAACATGCCTTATGCGATATGGAACAGTTTTTTAGATGATAATCCATCCTGTACTTCTAGACCTGGATCTTTTGGGTTGCATTCGCAAATTGTCAATTCAGTAAGTGACACATTAGATTTTCTTAAATTTTCTCAAGTAAATGATTTCTTTAATATTCATGGTTCGTTACTTGATCTTATTTTTACAAATTACAATGAGAATAATAATTTAAAAGTCAGTATAGCAATTGATGAATTGTTACCGGTTGATGATTATCATCCACCATTATTGTGTGAATTTATTTTTTCTTCTAATTTATCCTATATTGAGCGCGAAACTTTTGTTAAGTATGATTTTCGCAGTGCTAACACAGATGCTATTAATGAATTTCTTAACAATATTGATTGGAATGCTTTATTATCTGGCGTTGACCTTGAGAGTGCAGTTGAAATTTTTTATGATTATCTTTATTTAGCATTTGAATTTTTTGTTCCGATTAAAACTATTAAAACCTCAAATTTTCCTCCTTGGTTCACAAGTGAACTTAAGAACTTAATACAAGCCAAAAAAATAGCGCACTCAAACTATAAAAAATCCGGAACTTTTTCTGATTATCAACTTTTTAGTACTATTCGCTCCAAATGTAAGTAATTATCTACAGTGTGCTATAATAATTATATTCGTAATACGGAACAAACAATTATTTCAAATCCTAAATTTTTCTGGAATTTTGTAAAATCAAATCGCAAGGACCAACGCATACCTAATTGTATTACTCTTAACGATTATACTACGAATGATCAAAATAAGATTCCTGATCTTTTTGCAAATTACTTTGAATCTGTCTATGAAGAGTCTGATGACGATGATATTTTTTGTTCGTATAATGTTCATGCTACTGCTGAGCTTAATCTTTTTAGTTTTGACAGAACTTGTATATATAAGAAAATTAAGGATATTGATGTGAATGTTGGTGTGGGTCCAGATGGTGTCCCGCCTTCAGTGATCAGATCGTGCTGCTCCTCTCTAGTTGAGCCATTGTACATCTTATTTAAAAAGTCTATTACTGATGGTGTCTTTCCGAGTATTTGGAAAATGAGGATTATAATTCCCATTCATAAAGATAAATCAAAGAGTGACATAAAAAATTACAGGCCAATTACTATTCTTAGTATCATCCCTAAAGTTTTTGAGAGTCATATATTTGATAATCTTTACCAAGCTGTTTCTGATGCTATTGTTGATGGGCAGCACGGATTTGTTAGAGAAAGATCAGTTTCCACAAATCTTTGCACTTTTTATGACTACTTAGTTTCTGAAGTGGAAAGTGGTCACCAGGTTGACACCATCTACACAGATTTCGCCAAGGCTTTTGATAAGATAAACCATAAAATTCTTCTTAAAAAAATGAGTTTGATGGGATTAGGTCCTAAAGTTTTACAATGGTTTGAAAGTTAGGGGCCATTCATTAATTACGTAAGGACGATTTTGGCTAATTTTGACCCCCCCTACCCCCATGTAAGGATACATAAGATTTTTCGGACCCCCCCTCCCCCTTCTTACGTAAGTTTTTAACAATATTAATGTAATTAAAAAATTAATTACATCATAATACAAATGGAAAATACTTGGCAAAATCTTACGTAAGATTAGCTTCTACCCCCCACCACCCCACGTAAGACCATGTAGAGATTTTATAAACCCCCCCTCCCCCTAAGGACCCTTACGTAATTAATGAATGGCCCCTTATTTAATTGACAGGAGTCAACGTGTCCGCGTGCACGGCATTTACTCGAGAGAGATTATACCAACCTCTGGTGTCCCCCAGGGATCGAACTTGGGTCCGCTTTTATTTCTTCTATTTATTAATGATATTAAGGATATTTTTAAATTTTGTTCAGTATTATTGTTTGCAGACGATCTAAAACTTTTTACAACTATTAACTCTAACTTTGATTACGCAAATTTTCAGTCTGACTTAGATCGTCTGCATGAGTGGTCAATCTGCAATAGACTTTTCCTTAATATTGAGAAATGCTTAGTTATCTCTTTTTTAAGGAGGAAGCTTGTAATAAACCATGACTACACTCTTAACTACATTTCACTTACTCGAGTGACTCAGGTTCGAGATTTGGGGGTAATCTTCAGCTTTGACTTATTCTTTACGGAACACATTTCTTTAACAGTTAATAGGGCTCTTCGTTCTCTGGGGTTTATAATGCGTAACGCGTCTGATTTTAAAAGTCTAAACTCTCTTAAAAATTTATATTAATCATACGTAAAATCAATTCTAGAGTTTGCCTCGGTTATCTGGTTCCCCTACTACACCATTCACATCCTTAGACTAGAGAGAGTCCAAAATCGTTTTTTACGATTTGTGGCTAGACAACTTGGTATAAGTTTTGACTTATTTTCCCACAATTACGATGAATTACGTTCTCGTTTAATGATTCCAGAAATTAAATCTAGATTTTGTTACAATGATTTGCTTTTTTTGTTTAAGATTCTTAGCGGTCGCATGAACTGGCCTTTGTTATTATCGTCGATAAAACTTTGCGCTCCATCACGATATCTAAGAAATTTTCCCACATTTCACGTTGTTTTTCACAGAACGAACTACGGCAAGAATTCTGTTATAAATAGAATATGCAGTGAGGGAAATTTTTATAGTAATGTTTTGGACCTTTTTGGAGTTAGCTTAGATAGGTTTACTGCTAAGCTGCGTGAAACCGTTCTTAAAATTTAATAATAATTTTTAATAACTATGGCCATAATATGATAATCTTTAGTTTTTTTTTATATGACAAAATTATTGTCTACAATTTAAACTTTGTAATGGGTTTATCACCCGTCTGTAATTCCTAAATAAATGAATAAATAAATATAAGATAAAAAAGACCGAACGGAAATTAATTAGGCTCAATCAAAAAGTGCTTCATAGGCTGAAGTAGAATCTCATGAAATGCTTCATAAGCTTATAGAACCTCGTCAAAAAAGAACTTGGACCCGTATCTTCGTCACAAAATTAGTCGCCACCCTATTTAAATAAATAAAAATAAAAAGAAATTTTACACTCCGATAAAATAGATATATTAAAAAAAATTGAAACAAATAAAATTTCGTTTATATGCACGTTTTAAAACAAAAAACTACCTCTGGGCTGCCGGCGACACGCAGAGATGTGGCGATTCGCCTTATAGTTTTAACCCGGACCGATGAAAAATGAGAACAAATTACTCATCGGAACCACTTTTATTATTTCATAGGCAAACCCCCAAATCCCTACAATCCAGCAATTCTTCGCGCCCAAATCACCTCACTAGGAGCGTTTTCCACGGCTTTTGCCGATTTTTCACGAGTAATATCTTTGCGGGAAATATAAACATTTAACACATATATACTTATATACAAAACACATCAGAATCCCTTCAAATTAAAGCAAAATTATAACATTTCGTGTTAAAAAAATTTTTTAATTTATTATGTTTCATTTTTATTTAAAACAATATTATCTCACAGGCCTCGGATTATACGACTTTTTTCGATTTATTTAAATAAAATGCGACTTTATCGACTTTTTTTACATTTAAAAAAAATTTTAACAAAATAAGTTTTTTTTTAGTATACAATGCAGATCTTCTTCTGATCTTCTTTATTTCAATTATTTTTCAAATCTTTAACTAAAATTCTTCACAAAATTAATTATTAATTAATTATTTTTGAAATATAATAATTGTTTATAATTTTAAAAAAATTACAAAAAAAATTTTAATTCAAAATCACTTAAAATTTAATTATTTGCAAAAATTTCAACTTTAACCCTTCCAGAATTATTATTATTTTTAAAAAAATTTTATTTAAAAATCTGTAAAACTAAAAAAAATCAGAAAAATTAAGTTTTGCCTGAAATTTTTTTGACCATCAAAACCAAAAAACTATGAGAAAAATTTTAATTTAAATAAATTGCTTAAATCAGACTTAAAAAAATTATAAAAATGGAAATTTAAGAATTTTTTGTAGAAAAACCTACTTCTACTTAAATAAAATTTTGAAAATGTGTCCTACAACTAGTTCAATTCTGAAATATTCGAAATAAATTTTCTTGATAATATTCATTGTAGAATTATTTAAATTACAGAATTAATGAAATGAATTTAATATTTAATAACATTAATTATTTAAAGTAAAATATTTATTAATCAAATAAATTTTATTAAAATAAAAAAAATCGACGTTGTTGACTATTTTTGGAATATGAATCGACTAAAACATCTTTTTTTGCCTTAGAGTCGATCCGAGGCCTGGTTACAATTAATATTTTTTTATTAAATTAATCCTTTTTGGATTTCTTTGGTTTTTGACAGTTTGGCATTGGAGCCACCAAATCTTTACACGATTCCTTAATGCAAAGAGGACGAATTTCATCGTACAAATACAATTTTCTTTGCGGTGACAGTCCCTCTGGTTTTATAGTTTTTAATGGCAAAACATTTTCGGTAACAGGATGTACTGATTTTTTTAAAACAATTTCTTCCTTAGAATTCGCAAAATTCTTTGCTGCTATGGTACCATCTTCAAAGAAAGAAAAGTGATGATACTTAGTCAAATTGGGAATTTGTTTAAAATGCTGTAATAAATATTTATCCCATTGTGACCAATTAATATTTCTGGATCCAGTTGTTGGATCTCTACTAGGTACCGGAAGATTAAAATTGTTTGGTGAGGAGGTTGCAATGACCTGTATAAAATCTTCGTGGCAATCTACGACGGACTTTCTGAATTTTGACTTTATAATACCAAAATTTCTATCGGATAAAAATTTGGTATGGCCCGTCAAAAGAAAATTTAAAGAAATTGATTTATTCATCTTCTTCACTATTCTCCATAAGAGGTAGTGAAAAAGAGCATTATTTTTATTTTGCCCAACGCAATTGTCTCCAAAAAGAACAAGATTTTCTGCTTCATTATTAGTTAAATAATAATGTAGCATACTTATAACACCGTTTGCCCCCTTTTCAGTTTTGTCCTCTTCATCAATTGTGATATTTATTTGTACATGAGTAGCTTCATTATTTATTCCAAAAAGACTACATTTGCGAGTAGATTTGAAATAAGCTGAACCTACTTGTTGAGGACTGCTAGGATATCCAACGTTCTGAGCGTAGTCAAAAGAAATAACAAGAAGGGAAGATTGATTTTCAGTTTTGGCTCTTTCCCGATATGAGTTGTAAAAGTCTCTTTGTAATTTAGCTACTTCTAAATGATGTTTTGATGTTTCTAGCAAAGTAGTTTGCTCTTCAATAGATAAATTTGACATATTTGTCAACTTTAAATGATTTTGTCGACAAACGTCACATAAATCAGTGGCCGGTTTCATGGTTGATATTTCGGGTCAAAGATCATTCCAAATTTTTTTAAAAGACGTATGTGAAACAACGCGAATTTCATCAGAATTAGCTGCTTCTACAAATTTGTAATAAACTGATAATTTTGTATCGCAGGATGGTAACTTGACAACTTTGTCAAAATTTTTAAAGTGCGCTGATCTACCTGTCAAAGGAATTGCCACTTTACTGGCGTATGATTTTAAAAATTTCATGACATTCATTATGTCAACATTTGTAATAGTATTTCTATTTGTAGACACTTTATTAAATAGCTTACTTTTTTTTAATTTATACGTATTTTTTGTTTTTCATTTAAAAATGGAACATATTTTTGCTACCCATAAACGTGTTATTTTTTTAAAGTTTATAATTTTCAAATTTTTCATTATTTCCCTAACTTTAATTAATCTGAATTGTTTTAGAAACTAGATTATTTATTTTAATTAAAGTTGTTTTTTAAAAATAAAAAGTTAAAATAATTTTTAATAAAAATAAATTATTATGTTTCAATTTACACTTTTCAAAACAAACAATCGGTTCACAAATTTTGTCGTCCATTAAAGGTTAGGACTGACCCTTTTCCTTTACTCTCGCAAGAAAACAGAGTTAAATCTGGGTCATCTAGTAATAAATTTTTGGGGACTTTTATGAAATCTAGGAACAAAAAATTTTATTTTAACATTACATTACTAGAATAAAAGGCCCGTTTCACATGTTGTTACAATTGCAAAGCCTGCGCCAATCAAAATGAATCGTCTATGCCAAATTGCCAATCAACAACGTTCACAACCAACAGACGAACTGAAAATCAAAATTTACATTTGAGCACCACTGCTAACTCTAGAGTTAACTCTGAGTGAATGCCGAAAACACCCATGTACGTCGTTAAAAATTTTAAAAGAAGATATTGCATTTAATAATTATTTATTACCATTTTAAGATGAAGAACAAAATTTATTTATAATCTATTACTTAACTTTTTTAAAAATTTTATTATAAATTTAAATTAATTAATATTCATTAATTATTTAATTTAATTAACTTACAAATTTTTTTCGAATTTTAAGAAGTCTTTCTTAATTATATTCATTAAGAATTTTAATTAATTTTTGTAAAATTTTACTATTTTATTTAATAATTCTGATCTCTGTTTTAGTAATTTAAATTTTTTAATATTCTAATTGAAAAATATTACTTTAATTTAAGAATAATTCGAGTAGTGATATTTTACATTATGACAGTCAACATACGTTTACGAATGCTGTTAAGGTCCAATTGGAGACTCACCATTATAGGAAAAAAGTCATACAATTCGAGGCCTGACTTTATTATGTAAAGAAAATAGATGATATTAAAAATGGAACTATTTTTTTCAATAAAAATAATTCAATTTACATTAATAACATTCACATTACTTGAAGAAAAAATATCAAAAATTACAATTAAAAATAATTTTGTTGTTCAATAAAATAATTAGTTTTTTTAAAAATAACTGAAAATTCACTATTAAAGATTTAAACCTTTGCTTTACTGCGACGTCCATCGGTATTTTTTTATTACAACTATTGCTACAACAATCCTTTGAATAAAATATTTTTATTTTACAATCATCCTTCTCATCTTCCTCTCTTTTATCAATAAACTCGTCATCTTTTTCATCATAATCCTAATTAACAATAACAATCATAATTAATTACAATATTACTCTTGCACATCATTAAAAAATAATTTTAATTATTATACTTTAAAACTCAAATATAGTTGAAACTAATACAAATTATTTTTTATAATTTATTCACAAAAAGTCTTACATTATTAATTTGCTGTATCATAGATTGAAATTCATCCTTTTCTACCGAATTGTTACTCGTATCCTAAAACACATTTTTTAGATTAAAAAAATTATAATGCATAGAATCAAAAGTACAGGAAAAATTAAAACGAGTTTTAAAACGTTAAAAAAGCATTCTATGAAATAGAGTAAAATAGTAAAAACTACGTTACAATTTTTCTTTATCGTTTTTGTTTTAACACACCAAAAAATGGTTTCTTCCAAATTTTCTATAAAATTTTAATTATATGTTTTGTTATTAAATTTTAATAATTTAAAAAAAAAATTTCATTCATTATACTTACATTTTTATTTTTATAATACTCAATTTAAATGAGACGATTTTATAGAGAAACGGAGAAATAAATAGCAATTAAAAAATTCACTGGGAAATAATCGGGATTTGAAACTCATAAAAAAATTTGCCACTCTGTTTAAGCAGTATTATTATTATTATTTGATAAAGACTTAATAGATGATAGTCAAGTTATAAATTTTTTGAATGAAATATTACTTTTTTCTCTTTGTTCAATAAAACCTAAGAAAAACGTGACAGTTTTAACTACTTTGGTTAATTTAAATAATAAATAGAATAATAATTTATTAAAAATAATTACATAAGCATTACTTATTATTGATAGGAAAATATAATTGTTATTACTTACGTCAAACTCATCATTTTCCTTTTCGATGCTTGATAAATAACTGTCTTCCACTTCACGATTAAATTCCGAATCGAAGTCCATTATATTAAATATTATCTTTTTTATTAACAAAAAAATAAAACGCCAAACACTAAACAAATGCCAAAAATTTCCTTTGTTGATATTCTTCACACATTTCTTACTATAAGTTTTCACAACAGTGGAGTGCGCTATTATTTTGGTTCATTTCATGTTTACTTAAGATGAGCGGAGTGCTTTTTTGTTTTGGTTAATCTTATGAGGTAAAACATTTAAACATACACAATAATCCTACGATCAATAATTACTATTGTATTACGTATTATGTGGATTATTATTTTTTAATAATATTAGTAGAATTAATATTATGTAATTTTTTTTAATAAATTCATACATAGTAAATTAATAAAAAAAATAAAGAAATGATATATAAGTAATAGTAATATTAATAATAGTAAAAAAGTACATCCACATAGCACGACTTCTTGCTGGGAGGTTAATGTAACGATATCTATAGGGTTTGTAAGGTTACCGTGTAAGCCTGCAGTAAACTTGAGGTCATCTTAAAACTTATGTCTTACAGTAAGCTTACATAGTAAAGCTAAGGTAAGCTTACACAGTAAGGTCGTGGTAAGTTTACATGGTAAGGATGTGGTAAGCTTACACGGTAAGGTGGTTGTAAGCTTCCCGTAAGGTTATTATAAGGTTGATGTAAGGTTACTGTAAACATAGAATGTTGTTAATAAATAAAATTTATTAATATTTATGCGCAGTAGTTTTCTATGGCACATACGGCTGCGCAGTAACTTTTATTTGACAAACCCTATTGGGGTTCATAAAGTACTTTACAAAAAATATAAAATTTTTTATGCAAAAAAATTTATAATATAATATATATTATAATATAATTATTTTTAATATATTTTCATATTACTTTATATTAACAGTAACCTTACAGCAACCTTACAGTAACCTTACGTGTAAGCTTACGACATCCTTACCATGTAAACTTACCACGACCTTACTGTGTAAGCTTATCTTAGCTTTACTGTGTAAGCTTACTGTAAGGCGGAAGTTTTAAGATGACCTCAAGTTTACTGCAGGCTTACACGGTAACCTTACAAACCCTACAGATATCCTTACAGTAACCTCACAGCAAGAAGTCGTGCTATGTGGGCACATCATTCCTTCATTTATAATTTCTTTTGTTTAGACGAATCCTGAAAAAATGTTACATATATTTAACGTATTATTTTGTCAATAAAAATTAATCGATTAACTTTAATATGAGCTAAATCCATTTTCCGGGCCCAGCGCAATGTATACATTAGAGCTTAGAACTAGTGGGGAGAGACAAGATATGGTAGAGCCGAAGATGCACGAAGGTAGCATGCTCACAGACATATGAGTGTAGCGTTGTAGTGGTGAGCAGTGGTGCTGATTTGCAGTTGTACGTCCCCACTACTGAAATGTCTATTTTCATGCTACACTTCGAGCGCCTCTCCGGTAAAATTTGCTTTGGAACCGTAAGGTCCCTTTCACCGCGTCAGGACACATATATATATATGGTTCATTTTAAAAGGCCCGATTTAGCCATTAATTTCTGATGTCAGCGAAGTTCGTAACGGAGAAAAATTTATTACTGGGTAACATAATTATGGTAAGGGTAACCATATTTAGTGCTAAATATATGGATAGCGATCTAGATTGCAGTATTTACTATCAAATACTGCAATCTAGATGGTCTCACATGCATAACACATTTGATTAATAAAGCACATGTTATTGTTACTTTAAGCCAACAAGCGTATCAAGTGATTAAGATCTGAGTAAATTTAATAAAAGTGGCTTCAAATTTATTTCGCCATAAGACTATAATGTTTCGTCTGCTTTGTTGTCCCTCCAGGCCTTTGACGTCATATCTTGAACTCGAAATATATCGATGAACTGACAGAGCCTAATAGGCAAAGTATACTCCATAATCAGCGCATGCGCTCATGTTCAATTTTAACAATATTTGATAGCAGTGACTACAATCTGAAAGCTAACATATTTATACGTCTTTATAGGTAACATCTTGGACAGTAAAATGTTGATAGTAGATTCTTGTCAGTAACACAATGATGGTACCATGTACAGTCTTTCTTTTAACCATCAAATTCTTACTATCCATTCTCTCAGTGTAGCACGTCAGGCTTTAGCTGTAGATACAATTTTTCAAAAATGGCAAATGGTTTTTACAATAACGTAACGTGATGGGAAGTTTTTGACCCCGGATTCGTCTTCAGGACGAAAAATCCGTTAGAAAACACTATGTCCCATTTTATTCGCAAAACCCTTAGAGGGCAGTGTAGTTAACTGCATTTGGTAGTATCTGAAGTGCTAAACTTATGTATACTATAGACATTCATATATCTAATTATAGATTAGAAATGTAGGATCATATTTTACAGATAGTAAACTAATTTTTGAAGAAAAAAAAAATTGTAAAAAATTTTTTTTATACGAGTTTGCTTCCTTAGTTTTTACCTCCTTTACAACTGAATATAGCTGACTTTTGAATCTAATTTCGGAATCAAAACTAAATAAAGTTGACTTTTGATTCTCATTTCGGAATTAATTAATTAGAGGTCATTTGTGACGATTGTGTTACAGAAATGTTACATTACATTGTTACAGAACTGTAAAGTTCGTATAATATAGAACGGTTCGGTATCTCCTTTGTAACAATATTCTAGAATGCTGTTACAATGAGATTATATAACAGATTCATAACCATCTTGTAACAAATGTTCTATAAAACTGTGTCCTCACTGTTATATAACATTTATAATACGTGTTTACTGGGTAGCGATCGTGAAAATGAATAAATTTTAATGAACAACATATCATTGGTAAGTTTGTTTTTTCAGGTTCCACTTTGCTGTGCATCATTTTTACTTATCTCGCATATGGATTAAATTATAGCCAATACACTTCTCAAAAAACGTAAATATTTTTATGCAAAGTTAATAAATTGACAAAATTAAACGATATTCGTCTTTAGCTATGAATTCCACGTAGGAATATACTCTCCTGGTTAATATTTAGCAATTTAATTGTTCTTATCTTATCATCAATCGATTCATTTGATGCTATGAATATAATACCTACAGGTATTAAAGACTGCAAGAAACCTACGAAATTTCAGAGCAATCCGTCAAAATGTGCCTGAGATAATTTGAACATAAGATTTTGTGACATACACATACATACGTCTCAACATTTGTTTAAAACTTCAAATATATGGATTCTAATTAAAAATGAACCTATATACCTAACCCATTTTTAAAAATCGAAAATCGTCACGAATAGAAAGTTTTTTCGGGAAGAGAGGAAGCAAAAGTATTAAAATCATGTTTAATTATTGTTTACTTTGTACATCTATACATAAATGTTATACAACATTTAAGATGTAATTAACAACCAATAAATTGTGTACTTTAGATGCAGTTAAGCAGAATTTACCCTAAGGGTTCACGATTTGATTCTTCAAACTATAATCCTATTCCTATGTGGAACACTGGATCTCAGATGGTTGCTCTGAATTATCAAACTGGTGATAAACCAATGCAATTAAATCACGCAAAATTTAGAATGAATGGAAATTGTGGTTATGTGTTGAAACCAGAGTTTATGTTCAAAGAAGATTTTAATCCTTATGAAAAAAGTAGCGAATTTTATTCGGAATCTGTGAGAATAAATTTAAGAATAATTGGTGCCAGACATTTAAGTAAATCAAGACGAGGTACAGTGAGCCCATTTGTAGAAGTAGAAATTATTGGAGCTGAATATGATACTGATATGAAATTAACAACAAAAACAGTCGGTAAGTAACTAAATTTTATTAGAGTATATATATTTAAAAATAAATTCATTCAGTTAATACCTCTATAAGCATGACATACACATCAGATTTTTAATTTTCGTATTACTTATAAACAATTTACATTTTAATTCACACGTTCTCAATCTGAGTCCCTCGAATTCAGGAAAAATTGTTTTCCATCAAATTTCAAATCAAATTAGACTTGGTGAAGTTCTAATACACATTTTTAACATTTAACCTTTTCTAACGAACGACACCACAACAAAATTTTTGTTTTCTTAAATAAATTATTTACAGCTTCTCTTCAAATTTTAAATTTACATAACAGACGGAGAGGGAGGGGGTTGAATTTTTTTTGAAAAATTTAAACAGTCAATTTTTGAAGACTTGTACCATTAAACAGAAAGAAGAAGAAAAATTTGTCCCATATGTTATCGAAAGGTTTTTTTCTGCTCTTTCGAATGGCGCAAAACTTTTTTTAAAAAATTAAATTTTTTTTAAGTTTGGTCCTTTTTATTTTTTTTATTTATTTTTTTTGAAAGCTAAAAATGTGTTTTTTTACCACAAAAAATATTGAGATGTCCTTTCTTGTTATTTTTGAGATATTAATTAATTAATTAATGTTAATAAAAAAGAAATATTTCACAAATAAATAAAGTTATTGCAATTCTAAAGATACCAATTGAAAGTTGACGTAATTCCGCATCCAACGAGCCCTATATGGACTATTTTGGAATAGATTTTTTATAAACAATTGCCATGTTAGCCAATTGTTTATTAACAATCCATTTTGTCAACTTTCATTTAGTAACGTCAGAATTACGATACCTTTATTCGTTTATAAGATATATAAATTTTTATTAACATTAATTAATGAATTAATTAACTAATATCTCGAAAATAACAAAAACTCGGACAAGTGCGAGTTACACTCGCATTAAAACCGAGGGTTCCGTACTCTTAAACCTAAAATTTAAGGGGGTTAAAGTGTGAAGGCAGGTAGAAAATTTCCAATTTTCTTAATTTTTCCTGTAATGTGATCATAAAAACACATAGATAAACACATAGTCATATATAACAAAAATTATCAGTTTTTCTTTGAAAACGCTATGATCATCATAGCGTACATGCCTTGCTTCACTAGTCTCATTAATAGGGTTCCCCCTTTGGGTACGGAACCCTTAAAAGGACATCTCAATTTTTTTTGAGCTAAAAATGCACATTTTTAACTTAAAAAAAAAATAAAAATAAATTTAAGAAAAAACCGAATTTAAAAAAAAGTCAAAAGAATTTTTGATTTTCAGAAAAAAGAATCAAATTTTGAATTTTTTTTCACCAATCGAAAGAGCACAAAAAAACCTTTGGAAAACATAGATGTCGAAATATTTTTTTATTTACTTATATAATATTTATAATTTTTAGTTAATTAATTAACTATTAAGGTTAATAAAAAATGATATATTTTATAAACAAATAAAGTTATCGTAATTCTGACGCTACTAAGTGAAAGTTGACAAAATTCCGCATCCAACGAACTCTATATGGACTATTTTGGATTAGTGGATTGTTAATAAACAATTGGCTAACATGGCAATTGTTTATAAAAAATCCTCTAATCCAAAATAGTCCATATAGGGCAAAAAAAAGTTACAAGTCTTCAAAAATTCGCTGTTTAAATTTTTCAAAAAAATTCAACCCCCTCCCTCTCCGACAGTTTTTGAAAAAACCGAACAATACTTCGAGGTTAAATTAGTTACCCCTAGGGCTAAACTATGTGCAAGTTACAGCCCGATCCGATCAACTTTTTTTCACTTAGTTCGCTTCAGGAATTTTACCCCTTTTATATTTAACACTTTTGTCCGTGCCATTTTACTAGTTGGAAAATCTGCTTTGCAGTCGATTTTACCTTTAAAGCAACACCTTTCGACGGCAAAGTAATATCGTAAATCGCAGTCTATAATAAATATCAGATAACAAAATGCCTAGCCAGTAGCGCGCCATGTTCTGTCTGTGGTTCGATTGATCGGACGACGTGCCGGCTAGAATGCTGCTTAATGTGCGTGCGATTGCTGTCAAAATAGTCCGCCTGTTTGTATGGCACACGCGTACTGTGTCACTGATGCAGATAATATACGAATATATTAAATTGATTGAAATAATTGGAATATAATAAATTATTATATAATAATAATATTAATAAGTTTTTATTTGACATCAATAATATTAATAAATTTTAAAAAATGAGTATTCATCACACATTCTCGAAATTTTTCCGACGGGTTGACTCTGAGACTCGAACCCTCAACCATCATAGCTCTCAACCGCACTGGGAGCGCCTTAACGCGCTCGACCAGGGGAGGCTTTGAAAATTTTTGAGAAAATGTCTCTTATAACGAACACACTAAACAGATACTTATATTATTTTGTAAAGTCATCAAACAGCTTTTCAGATGTTTATTATTACAAAGAGTATATTATCGTATGGGTCAAAATTCGTCAACTGTTCCCACCCCAAAAGTTACCTCTCAGGCGATTGCTATAAAATTTATTTTAACATAACTTCTATAAAACTTCTTCAATTACACTTTTATTATTTGGTATTCGAAAGGGTTTTTTCTCTACTTTATGCATAATAATTGTTGCTATTGCTATTTCTTTCAGCATAGGAAAAATTTTAACTGTTCTTTTTCCGAGTTTGTTTCCTTTGCGGAATAAAGTGATGACTCCAGTGAACATTATCTATGTGCATCAAATTTCCCTTTACACTTGGTAGCAAGACAGTTGTACTCGAAGCCTTCCCAGTAACATCAAATGAAAGAATTTTGATAATAAAAAAAATTATAAAATTAGATTAATTTAATTAATAATATTTAATTTTCTTTGTATTTAATTTATTAGGTAGTACCGTAACAGCTATTAGCGGAAAAAATAAAAAAAATTTAAAATATGAAAAAAAATTGTTAGAAAAAATCTCGCCAATGGGCGAATTTAACATTGCTTCGAGCTCACACATCAAAGTGTTTAAACTTTCATACGAGAGCGCAACATCACCGATAGCTCTCCGCAAATGATACTATACAAAACCGCATTAACGCCTGCATGTTTCATATTTAAATAAGTATCGCGAATCAACAAGGTGGTAACAGGATAAACTCTAGGAATAAGGATGGAGTGAATTTGATCAGTGTCTAAATCTGCATTTTGAATCCGTCCTCCCACTCGTAGAATACCATCCTTCATCACTGGACTCAATCGAACAATCTTGGATTTCTGGAGAATTTTTTTGCACCTTTTATCCGACGAAAGATGTTTCACTTCACCGGAAAATTCCTCTCGTTGTATGCTGGTGATCATTGTCTCTTCTGCTGAATGCAGTTTATCTGCAGACAGCTCACCCGTCGTTCTTCACTTTTTGCGTACATTTTTACAAAATCGAATACAATAAGCAAGTACTCAAATTAGCTTCTTGAGTGATAAATATCTTTTCCACAAGCTCCATTGTTTGACGACCTTGGTAGTAAGAACTTGCATTTTCTTTGGATCTTGTTGGTCCATTTCTACAGGTTGTAATTTCGGTGGCCAAGCTTCCTCCGCCTTTCTCAGCTAATTGTAAGTTGGAACATTCTTTTAAAGTTGATTGTTTAAGAACTCCGTCGGAAGCTGACCTCTGGACAGGACATCAGCAGGATTTTCCGTAGTGGACACGTGTCTCCAATCACATGACTTGGTAACACTGAATCACGGCTATTCTATTGGCTTCAAATGTCTCAAGCTTATAAGGTAGTTTGTTGATCCAATTCAAGACAGTTAGGCTGTGTCAGTTCATCGAGATATTTCGCGTTCAAGATATGACGTCAGAGGCCTGGAGGGACAGCAAACAGACGACACAATCATGAAGTAGTATTAGGAGCACTCACTCTATAGGCCGTTTTTGAAAATTCTTCCCCAGCCTTTCCAGATTTAATCATAGAGATAATATAAATAGAGTGGAGATGGTCTGTATAGAGGCGTCCGTTTGATAGAAAGAGAACGCGATTTTAGCACCAGTAGGTGTCTCTCTTGCGCTGGTGCTTATTGAAGGACAGATACTGGTGTTAAATCTTTCTTCTCTTTCCAACCCATTCTGTTTATGTCAGGACACTTCCCTCTTACGCAGCCGCCTATACCTTGTCTACTCTATTTATATTATCTCTATGGATTTAATAGAAGCATTTACATATCCCCGATACTAACAACCCTAGCGGAAAAGCCAGGAATTACAGGTCACGTGGTACATTGTTATATAAGTGTTTGTGTATAACTGTCAGTTGGCGTTTTTTTTAAAATGTGTTTGATGGGAATTAATATTGTGTAATTATAAATAAAAAAGTGAAAAATGTGGCTGCTAAATTGATAAATGAATCAGCATTAACACAGGCAATTTTACTTGATACAAATTATTTTGTATGCATTTGAATGTTAACAAAATACTTGCTGAACTTGTCATTATATTTTGTTTGTTTACATGTAAATATAACCTAAAAATAACAAAAATTAAGAAATTTCGTTTGAAATATATACGGCTACAATGAAAAAAAATTATTTATATTTTTATTATTTTTTTTATTTTTATATAACTTACAACAAATTAATGCAATTTCTTTATTATTTCATTATGAAACATAATTAAAAACAAATATTTTAAAAATCTAAATTATATATTCGTATATAAATAAGCAAAAACTTACGAATTTTCAAATATATTTTCAAAAAAATATTTATGTTTTATTTAAAATTTTTGTGTGTAACTTTTTTCTTTCTTTACACTTTTTCTAAAATTATTATATATATCACTTTACACTGTTTACTATATGAGAACAGCTGTGACTAGGCGCAGCCATATTTTGAAAACTTCTAAGTACACCGCTTTTCCGCTAGAGGCGTCATAATCGGAGATATGTAATTTCGGATTTATTCTCATGCAGGGGGCCTATATGCTTAACAAGCAGTGAGTGCTCCTT